ATCTTATAACGCCATACATATCGCTTGTCTTATCCCAACGAATTTCTTCACTTATGCGTCATTGTTTAGCGTCACGGCTCTCTGTGCAGACAGATTTTTGGCAATTCGCCTTCACCTCAGATATCAGGAACTAGTGACAGACAAGCGCGTTGCTGCTGTAGTGGTCTTAATTTGGGTGATAAGCGCACTTATTTCACTGATCAGGTTATTCATCCCAAAAGATATCATGTACGTGAGTTTCGTCATTATTCAATCTGCCTGTATTATAACTGCAACTTCCCTGAGCGGCAAACTTTATCTAACTATAAGACGCCACATAAACCAAATTCGCGTCCAGCAAGAAGCGCAGAATGACCAAGGAGAAAGTGTTCAAAGAAAAAGGAAATCTGCGATGGCATCGCTTTACGTATATCTGGTTTTCATAGTTTGCTATTTGCCTAATATTTGTGTGTTAATTATTATCGCTACCGATCCCGAGCGAAGCAACAGTCTACGGCCTTCACAGTTTTATACTCTGACCCTGGCATTTCTTAATTCAACACTTAATCCACTGATCTACTATTGGAAGATGAAAGACATTCAACACACTATTGTAGGCACACTACGCAATCTTTTTTCAAGTCCCACCTAGAGAAAGCTCCACCATAGACTATGACGAACAGAGGACTAAGAAAGCCTTATAAGGTCATCCTCATACGGTCCTTATACGGTCTGTAACTAAACGAAGCTATGCCACTGAAATGCTTTGCGAATTTCCTTCATGTCACTTCCATAACACAATCCACGCTGTCATCATTCAGTTTTTAAACGTCCTTATGCAAAATTCTAGTTAAAAAAATTCAATACTTTTGTAAAATGAACCTTTAAAAGCGCGATTGACACACTTCGCAGTGTCTTATTGATGCAAGAGTAAGCCAGCTTACGAGCTAAATGACTTAAGTTTCTTCTTCATGTACCCTTTTCACTACGTTAAAACCTTAAAACGTTTAAATCGTCATGTTGCATAGGTTTTTGTTGAAATTGACCTTAACTGAGATGATATAGTTATCTCATTATTGCATTTTAAATGTTGGTGAAGCTAAGCAAAACAACACACTAATATTTAACGTTAACATATAACAGGTTTCATATGAACCCTTTTCTCACTGAAAAGCGTGAGTGGAATTCATACCCCAATAAAAAATTTAAAACATTTAAAGTGTACGAGATTTTTCTTAATAAAAGGTGGGGGAAAGTATGATACACACCTTCCTTGAAACTGTACACGTTTAGAACCCTTAAGATTTTATGGTTTAACTGTTTTGGTCTCAAAAGCATACATGTATGTATTGTCAAATCTGCTTTCCCTCAGTGGTATTTTGTAATGTTCTGCAGTGTTTTTTATTGTTATTTTGATTTCAGTAAGCAACATTTCACCAAGGATAATAATGAAAAGAAAAAGCCACGGCCGTAGAAACGAAACCACCCTTTACCTCCGTCAAAAGAGATACTGAAAATTTTCCCCAGAAACGAGAACATCAAACGTCAACTAGCCTGAAAGCAAGCTCTCTATTTTGGGGGAGTCGCCAAAAGTCACGCGACAGCAGCACGCTTAAGGAGACGCGAGTGTGAGGGGCGGGGTGAGAGGCGCGTTCTCTCTCTAGCAGGTTAAACTTCAACAGCTGTCTTGCGCGCTATTCATTCTCATGACAATTTCGATCGATTGTGGAACCTTGACGCTTTTGCGGTTTACAAACTTTATTGGTTACTGATACTATATTTTCCCCTCCCATTCTGACCTAGAAAGGTCTGAAATAGCTTCCAACAGGAGCCTGAAGCAGATAGGGAATTCGGGAAAATAACGCGTTCTCACCTAAATATGAATTGTTGGCGCTAGTTTTCCTATTGACCAGCACCCTTCCAAAGCTCTTATTTCATTGGTCCCTATAACCTGCACTCCCTATTGTTTTCAGAGATAGGAGCATTGTTATGTCAACATATTGTTTTCTCAGCCAATCACAAACTTTGTTCCCAGTTTCAGAGTAGAATTAGAATTGGGTAGCAAATGAATTTCACCTGAACAACAACAACAATAACAACAAAAAAATTAGTTCTTAAGTCCGCTTGCGTTTAATGGTTGGGTGCAGAGCTAACGAAAATTGTCCACTCATATAGTTTATGTCGTCGATATTGCAAGTTGCAAATACAACACAATTTAATGAAAGAGTTAGGAAACCATATGACACGTAAATTAAACAGCTGAAATTTTTCAAGCTGGTTATTTAAAACCTACTGTTAACTAACTATGATTTTTAAAACGTGTGGAATATATGAAAAATTTCACCACCTTTAAAGAGACAAAACACTTTGTAACAAGTCCGCTTGCCCTGGTTAAACAGTTGGGTGCAAAGCCAACGAAAATTGTCCACTAACAGTTTATGTCGTCGATATTGCAAATTGTAAATACAACACAATTTAATGAAAGAGTTACGAAACCATATGATATGTAAATTAAACAGTTGATATTTTCCGAGCTGGTTATTTAAAACCAACTGTTAACTAAATATGATTTTTATAACGTGTGGAAAATATAAAAAATTTTCACCACCTTTAAAGAGACGAAACATTTTGTAACAAGCCCGCTTGCGCCGGTTAAACAGTTGGGAGCAAAGCCAACGAAAATTGTCCACTAATAGTTTATGTCGTCGATATTGCAAATTGCAAATACAACAGAATTTAATGAAAGGGTTAGGAAACCATATGATATGTAAATTAAACAGCTAAAATTTTCCGAGCTGGTTATTTATAACATACTGTTAACTAAATATGATTTTTTGGACGTGTGGAAATATAAAAAAATTCAACACCTTTAAAGAGACGAAACACTTTGTAGCTCCTTCAATAGGGACTGTGAAGCCATTATGTTAACGCCAAAAACTAGAGGTCTTTAACAAAGGCATTAAGCCCTAACATATTCATCAAAATTAAATGGGCTAAAAGACTAACGAGGAACAGTTTTTTTCTAAAGTTTCAATCGACCGCTTTTAGTTCCAACTAATTAGAAACATGTCATTTTGCAGTAAATTTTAATGAATACGACGTTCTTTTAAAATACAGCATCTGGAGCATACACAAGGGTGAAGGACAGTTTAGTTCCTTTTTCGCATTTCGCTCGTTCGGATGCAATATAGCCATATAGTGGCCCCAATAAAGAAAAAAAGCCCTCAAATATGACTTAACTGTCAAAAGCGGGAAAAATGGTGGGGCAAGTTTCCTGTGTTTCAGTTGAAGTTACTTTAAAAGGAACCTCCTGTTTTTAAATTGGTATGAAGCTAACAAACACACATAACGATTTTACAATTTGTCTTGAAAATAACCAAGAGATCTGACACTTAGACCAGCAATACTTAATGATTAGTCGCTGCGTCATTGTGTTAAGATGAAATGTTTCACAGTGGCCCAGTTAAAAAGGAATTTAGTCAAAGTACTTATCAAAGGATAACTTATTGAAAGTCGTGAAATTCTAAAAATAAGTCAATCTGCTTCGAAGCTCCGGTAGAAGAAGTCCACGAAACTAACTCTGCTGAATTCATAAAAGATCAAACTCTTCCATCATCTGATAGGAATTTAACTGGCTTCAGCACAAATCCAAAAAGGACAACAAATGGATTTCTCGTATCTCGTAGTTTGCCTTTTAAATGCATTTTTATCCTACACCGCCACCATGCTCAACATTGTTACAATCCACGCTATAAGAAAAACTGCGTCCTTGTCAAAGAACTTAAAAACACTGCTCCTGAGTCTGGCTGTTTCTGACCTTGGTGTTGGTTTACTAGCTCAGCCAATGACGGTGGTAGATCTTATCTCTACGAACTTGAACGAAAATAATGAAACTAGTAAGACTTATAATGCCATGTATATTGCGTTTCTTCTTCCGATGAATTTATTTACTTTCGCGACGCTGTTTCTCGTCGTTGTTCTTTGTGCTGATAGATTTATAGCCATTCAATATTACCTTAGATATCAAGAACTTGTGACACACAAGCGAGTTGTTGCTGTTGTCGTCTCAATTTGGGTATTAAGCGGACTGTTTTCGTTGACGAGGCTGTGGATCCGAAAGAGTATGCACGTGGTTTTTGGCATTACAGTACTAGCATGTGTCATAGCTGCGACTTTCTTTAGTGTACGAATTTATTTCTCCGTGCGTCGCCACGTAAACCAAATTCAAGTGCAGCAGCTACAACAAGCATCGCAGAACGGACAAATGGCTAGCGTTACAAGGCTGAGGAAGGTTGCCATCATGGCAGTTTACGTTTGTCTCGTGGTGCAGGTTTGCTATCTGCCACACCTCTGTAGTGTATTTGCTGTTGCCTTCACGTCTCTATCAAACACTGCTGTAGAACATTTATATTATTACACTCTGACCCTGTCATTTCTGAATTCATCGCTCAACCCACTGATCTACTGTTGGAAGATGAAACACGTCCGAAACACAATCATTGGCTTATTACGAAACGTATTTTCATCGCAGAACTGAGGAGAATTTTCGAAAGAGTGCAGCAAACATTACGAACTTTTTTTTATCTATGCCCCTAAAGAAAGAGACAGCAATGACAAATTCACTTTAAACAACCGACGTAAATTTTGTTTGAATAGTTCATTATAAAAAGAACTACCGCACTTTTGACAGCTGGCAAGCACTCACTTTCCTGGGTGTACTTGCATTTTAAGTGAACGAACAGTCTTAAACACGAACAAGCAAGCAAGCAAACAAAAAAAGGAGGGAGAGAATTGAAGCGCCACCTTGTAAACCGGAATTACATCATGTACAAGGAAATAGCGGTAACTGCTGTTGGAAGAAGGCAGGGGGGGAGGAGAAGCTCTTCATTCCCAGCCGGAGAATTTTTAGCTTACCTGGTTGATCTGCTGAATATAGCTGAGACTGAAGAATTGGATAAGGCGTGATATGCTCTGATCTCGCGGGGTTTAGCACCTCCGTTGCTTCAAAGGACCCACTGGTGCTCTTCAGGTTGAAAACGCGCAACGTATAATCGTGTTTCTTAGAATCTAAGAAGACAAAAAAACCGAATGATAAACAATTAAGTGCAAATAACTTCGTGCCGGTACTTTGTACTATAAAAATACCGTTTTTACCGTATATTCACAACATTGCCCGATACAAGCAAAATGACTGGCCTAATTCTCAGAGGGACAGAAGACGCTCGCTTGTAAATTCCTACTCTGATGGCCGTTAAGCATAGCAAACAGTAATCTATTCAGGAAAGTCAACTTGTAGGATTACGTCCAGTTCACAAACAAAAAAGGCGGAATCGTATTCGCACACTAACTCAAAACTAGTAAAAAAGGACAGAAGGGATCAGTGGGCGATATTCATTTACCAAGAAATTCGTTTACCATGAAGCAAACACTTTTCGGGAGGTTCGCTGGAAAACTCCCAGGAATAAGTGGAAGGCTTTGAAAACAAAGTCTTCTTTTCCCGTTGGAAACTTTTCCGGTGGAAAAGCGTGGTCCCTTTTCGATTTTTTACAAGGATTTTTCAATCTCAGGCTATTCACGGGAGATATCTGTACCAACATCTTGAACTTTGGCGAGAGAGGGGAACAAAACGCCCAGTTTTTTTCCAGTTGAAAAGTTCGCCATGTAAGATTGCATCCATAAGCCCAATGTTACAACCTTCTTAGCCCTCCTTCGCTCGCTACGTTCATTTTGCTCGTCAAGACTACCTGAGAGACTAAAAATGAAGCCATATCCGCCGTGGAAGAAACAAGGCACGCGAACACTCACAAAATAAAACACTAAAAAAACTGTCGCGCTTTTTCGTCATTTCCCACGCAGCAGCTAATGCACGAAGGGGGAATGACCTCTTGTAAGACATCGCAACACTCACCTTCACTAAGTGACATAAAGTTCGCCTTTCCTCCAAGAACATTCCAAAAGTCTTTGGTTTCTCCTCCTTCAGAAACTTCCTTGGCTTTGTAATCTTTTGAATACTGCTTACTAAACCTGTGGAAAGGCAAAAGGAAATTAAAACAATAAAGAGGAAGCTCTCGTAGGTGGACACCCTCGGGACGACCCTCGGGACGCGAGAAAGGTGTCCGTAAGTGGAGCTGGCCCCTCACGAGAATGAAGAAATACAGAGTTTGTATGGAAGTTGAGTAAAACGGGGTCTTGTGAAGCTAGCCGTAGGTAGAATTTTTCCGCTTACAGCTATTTCGGTCAATGTCAATCAAATTTTCGATAAAAAAAAAAGTCTAGTCGCTGCTCCTATATATGTCATATCTTGACGATACAGGAATTACATGTGTAATATTGAATTTTCTTAACTAATTAGACATTTTCTGAAAACAACGCAGCAAATTGTCAGTACTATAAGATATTGTATTTCGAAATTTCAGTTAATTATTTCAATATTATAGATAAAAGCTGTGAAATGATTAAACCTTCTTGTACTTCGAAATTTTTGTCAGTTTTTTAGGTTTGTCATGGCCAGGATCATGAAAACGGACTGCAAAGAAAACGTTGGGCCACAGGTTTTTCGAGTTCAACTCCTGTGAATTAAACTAAATGAAATGACTCATATTTTCAAAGGCGGATGAGGATATGAAAGTGAACATGATCCTCGCAGTTGAATGAACAACCTAAGCGGTTGAAAAAGAACCCCATACAAATTCAGGCTTGACAGATCTGGGATCGGTTGCACTTGTTTCCTTGGAAGCCAGTGATGACAAATTAAGTATCTTACCATTTTTTAAGTCTTTTTGTGGCATTAACCGCCAGTGTTTTCACAGTGGAATGAGATTGACAGCCGTGCCAGGCATAAAGTATAGCTTTCTTTTTATCTGCTACCACGAATGATGTCCTTGATCTCAAGCAAGACGAACTGGAAAAGAAAAAAATTAATAAAAGATAGGTCTAAGTGAAATAAAAGAATAAGTATATAACATCAAGAAAGACTTCTTACGTCTTAGTAGTAACCATGGCCACCCCCTTCCCTCCCCTCCCCACCCCCAAAAAACAAACATATAAACAAACAAACAAAAGAATGCGCTTAACGCACTTAAAACAGGTCGAAGAGAGACGTTTGTTTTCCAAGAATTTTCTGCTTTATTCTCCGTTTATATTACCGAGGAAACCTCGTCAAGGATAACATGTTAGTGTAAATAAGGCATTCTAAACAAAATAATGTTTGAAACAAATTTCCAACTATCTGCAGATCCCGTTTAAAACAACAATCTGGCACTTAGCACGTGCGTTAAAAACAGCGTGCATCAAAACCAACACTACGGCACGTGCGCATGAAAAACTTTGCACGTGCGTCAAAAAATAAGCACATGCGTTTGAAAGAAAAAAATGCAAGAGCGACAAAATAACGATACAAGCATCTACTTCACCTCGCTGGGATCTCTAATAAATAAGCTTCTTCTGGTTCTTCATTTCTTACAATAAATAATGCTCCATCTCCTGGTAGAGTGACAGAAAAGTGGTAAGTAATGATTCTTCTTAAATATTATTTTGTACAGACATAAATAGAGGAAGATTAATATTCGCCACGTTATTCTCGTTGTTGTTAACATTTACGTCTTATTGCGAAATTCGCTTTGCTGGTTTACGTATTCGCCCGCTCTAAGTACTAGTGACCGCTCTTGTCTTTAGCTTAAATCAGCTGGCTGGAGCGAATTGCCAATTTCTCGTGCTTGAACTGTGAGAGGAGTCGCATGCTAGCTGTAGAGTCGCAAAAACAAGGGTTGTTTACCATTTACATTGCAAACAGGTCAGTTCACGGTTTGGGCTAATGGTAGATAAAATGCATGACTAAATTTCGTCCCGGAATCGCTTCTACTATTTGTACAATTCAGTTCCATTTATCGAAAAACGGACGCGAAGCCCTAAAACTGGTATCAAAGATTATTTTCAAGAGAGGGAACACGAATTTCCGTTTTAAAAAGGACTGCCTCTTCAGATATTTTGTTCCTGCGGGAAATTTTCGGATGGAACGACCCAAAATTTACTGTCCAACCGAATTTTCCGGAAACTTTTTGTAAATATTAAACGACCTAACTTTCGTTCAACGATCATCACTACCGTGACTCAGTATCCATACCTGTTTCATCTTCACAGTCTCTCCTGTGAAGTAAAATAAAAATAACGTTAATAACATCCTGCAACAAGGCACTTTCCACACTTGTTCAAATCAATAATATTTCAGTCGATCGTAAAGAACTTACCTCCCTGAATGAACAACCATCTTTCCTTCAAATAATCTAGTAAAACATGGTGGCTCCTTGCCTTGGGCAACCAAAACCTTCAAGAAGAACAACAAAACATTGTTATGGTTAAATTCTGGAGGGAGTTTTTCAGTCAATCATATATATAGCAACGCAAGCCCAAGGGAAAAAAAAGAAACAGAAATTGAGAAAGAGCAAAGGGGACACTGCCAGAATCCCGTCAAGCCTTTGACGTTGCCATACGCAGAATTAAGCTCCTTGCTATAGAAATGTTCAGGGTGTACAACTATATGGCACATGAAAACCTATGCCAAAGTTTTTTGGAAATGAGGTCCACCCTTGATCCAAAGGCTCCTCTTCTAGATTTCAGTTGCCTCTTTCCAAAACCAATTATGGCACAAAAAAAAAAACGTTTTCGCTATAAGGGCGAATTTATTATTTGGAATAAATTACTCGAAGATTTGCGTGAATGCAAAGTCAATGAACTTATTTAAATCTGAACTGGGCCGCTTGCTTCCCAGCTTCTTTGATTCCTCACTATAATACTTAGTTTTACATTAAGTGTGTATATATAAATGTAGATTTTTTCTTTTTTAACAATTAGAATAACTAGAAACTCTGCTGGGTATGTACATTTTAAAAAGCGGCTTTAATGTAAACCAGCGCTTTAACTGAGAAAACCACTATGACTAAGTAAAATATCTAACTATCTATCTACAGTACGAAATTCACGACAGCAAACAATCTTGTTTTCTCTCGTCAAACTAGTTTTTCGAGTACAAGCATGCGTTTATTGACAACCAATGATCTTAATTGAGTCTGCTGTACCAAGCGCACGGCTATTAGGCTCTGGGTTCCAAATTGTATCCTAGCAACATGCAGCGCATGCTCAACAAAGATTTTCCTCGATTCATGTAGAGTCTTTCTCGAATACGCCAAATTCGAGCAAGCGAAAAAAAGGATCTGCTAGCAGGGTGTACTTTGCTTAGCTTTCGCCAATATCTACCGTTTGACTGGTTAGTACCCTACCTGTGGTCCTTTGTCCGAGTCCAGCTCCACGGTCATGAGCGCGGCAGTTCCTTTTTCATTCAGTGTACTGTCCTTGCCTTGCCAAAAGAAGTAAGCCACTTTATCGCGGCCGACATCTTCGTACTTGGACTGTTTTCCCTTGAGCGTTTTAACGCCTGTGAGTTTCACACAATACTTCCACCTCACAACATATCCTGAAAATTTAGAAAGGTACAATTCAGTGCCTCGGAAATTCGTAACTCAATAACTTAAGGGACAATGGCTGCAAGCTCCCAGTACGACGACTTGTGGGATCGTCAGGAAGACTAATCATCATCGTCAACACCATCACCATCGTCATCGTCATCATCATCATCATCATCATCTTCATCATCATAAGGGGGCTTAAGCAACGACGACGACGACTGCAGTGAAAACTTCGTTAGAAATGAATTTGCGTCCTTTCAAACTTTATCGCGTGTATTTGGTCCAGTTTATTTAATTGTCAAAAGTAGGCGATTTCTCCTGGAGATGAATTCTTAAGGAGCACGACCTTATCCAGTTTCAAAAAGACCCTGAAAAATTCGTCGTACGTTTACGTCCTCCATTAAAAGTCGAATTAGGAGGTTTCACATCGTAGTCGTGCAGTGGACGTCAAAGAAAAGTTCTGAAAAGCGTGATGCACGTTCAGAGCTGTTGTTTAGGTCATAAAACTTACTGTTTTTTGACGTTGTCGTTCTCGTCGTCGTTGTGATTGCTTAAGCTCCTAAGTGCCACTTTTGCGGCCACCATTCAGTTCAACACAAACCATAGTTACGTTAGAACTGCGCATGACATATTTCACAAAAGCAACGACAAACCTTCCGAAGAAAAGAAATGGCCGTACTCTTCCTCTGGCAATAACTGATAGGTGTATTCCTTGACATGCCAGATTTTAGTTGAAATCGATGAAACAATGAAATGCCTTCCCTCCTGGTCAAAACTTCCAGTTCCACGTCCCACGTCAAAGCCTGCAGACAAAAAGTACACAAACCGGTTCTCAAAAAACGATGCACAGAGAAAAATAAGGAATTGACCACCTTTTACTGCGTCAGGATTAGCAGAGGAGGAGGTCGTGGGTTCGCTCTGCGGTCACCTCGCCCCCAAGTCGTTTCGCCACGGTTACTTAGTCCCCTATTTTAGAACGAGAAATATTATATTTGAAGCGTGCTTGTCTAGGTTTATTGCTCATAGAACGAGGAATCTTATATTTGAAGCGCGCTTGTTTGGTTAACGGTTTATAGAACGAGGAATATTATATTTGGAGCGCGCTAAATGACTCGAAAATAGGGGGCGAAGGAACCGGGGCGAAATGACCGGTTGCCGTGGGTTCGATTCCCAGGGCAAGATCAATACTCAGGGTCTTAAAATGACTGAGAAATAACGGTACTCTCTTTGCCCTGCAAACGGTTAGGCTTTCGCGTGGCTCGGATGTCCACGTAACATGGAGGTCCCATCCCCGGTAGGAGAAGTAAAAATACTCAATGTTCCCAATTAGTACTTTCGTGCCTTATACTACTATATGAGAAATTTCTGCAATTTGATTGGCTTAGAGCAGTAGTATTTCAGCCTAATTTGAAATACCTACATGTGAAAATTACAAACCTTTTATGGGTAGTAGTATAAAGAAATAATAGCTTGATTTGTACGTGATATTTGGCATAAATACCACTTGTGATATTTCAAAATTGTCTCAAATTTCACTCGCCTAGCGGCTCGTGAAATTACGTATAACAATTTTGAAATATCACTCGTGATATTTATGCCAAATATCACTACAAATCATGCTATTACCTATACTAATACATTGAAATTCAAATAAAGAGGATTTTTCTTACAAACCTTCAAGAATTAGGCTTGGTTCTGAAGAAGGGTCGATTAAGTTTTTGGGATCACAGGGCTGCATTTCAAATATGCTGTTTGGTCGTTTCTGTAAGTTGTCAAGAAAATAAATGGCGTCAAAATGTTGAATCTACTGACAAAAAATACAGAAGAATTAGACAAAATTGTTCATGGGAAAAAAAACTAAAAAGGCCAGCACCAAAAGGTCTCAATGTAAACCATAAGGAGAAAGGTTACTGAGAAATTGTGTTACGAAACCAGAGTGTTGACCAGTAGAAACGTTGTTTGGGAATAAAACACTTATTCAGCATGTTGATTTGCCAATGAGCGAGGGTAAACCCTTCATTTCACAGCAGCGGTAAGCACTGCTGAAGTAGAAACACCATAGGATTTCATCGAAAGACTCAAAAATAGTACCATGTGAAAGTACTGCAGAAGAGATATTTTTCATTCAACAGCTACAACTACTGTTTCTATGTAAACTGATATTTCAATATATTCAAAGACGTCTATTCTCTGGCAAAGCAGTGTTAAAAGAGAAATTAGATTCTAGTCACCATTTGCTCTCGAAAAGCTCAAACATGGTTACACCAACTTACTCTTTCCAATCACAAGGGACGACCCAGCGATCGAATTTGAGGAAGGGCATTTGTCACCCTAGAAGCGGGAAGGGAACTGGGTCAAGATAACTTTCGCACAGACTTCTGGGATTGTTACTGGGACAAAGAAAAAAATTGGCTGACGCCGGACCAGCGCGTCCCCAGCCACGATCCCAGACACAATTGCGGGAAGAATTTCGGCTCCAGCTCCCTTCTCGTTTCTAAATGTTGTCAATACAGCTGTCGCCAAGCGCATGGCAACGGGCATGAAAAAAAAGAGAAAGAGAGAGAGAGAGGTTTTACAGCCTGCGAGCAAGCTCTCCACTTGAGCACCACATCATGCGAAGTGACACGCGCCAGCAACTTCGAAAGCAGAAGGCCTGCCTACAACTCACGCAAATCTTGGGAACAGAGTTTGCTTGCAGGCTAAAACTGTTGGTTTTGGTTTTACTGTCGCATGTTATAATAGCAGCAGCCTTTACTATACCTTTCTCTTTTTAGACTTTGGTCTTAGGAAGCTTCCACTTTCGTCAGATGAAGGCTGGGTGTGTTAGTACGAAGAGCGTTAGCAGAATTATAGTTAACAGACATTAGAAAAACGTTACATGCAGTTACAAAATAGCATTAATATAATATGAAGTTCATTACCACTTACAAGTACAGAAAAAGAGGAAATTACATAGGTTAAGCTGAAAGACATACTTTACAGGCTACCTTTACTCCCATGGTTTCACCACTTGTTAATGACATACGCTAATAAGATATGCTTTTAACTATTACGCTTACCGCCAATATATTAATTCAAGCACAACAGGATTATAGAGAAGCATTTTTGGCAAGGTGCATGGCGTATGGCTATATGGGCTGCATGTAGACATAAGCCAACAGCTCGTTTAGCACTCACCATAAAGATAAGCAATTAGCCTATTCCTAGAGAATAGGGTTCAGTTTTTTATGCTTGGGTGTCACACCCCAACCAAAATCCATTCTGAGTGCCTGCCCTGGTGTATAATGTCTGTACATGTATGTTAATATAGTGAAAACCCAAAACAAAGAATCCCCGGATCTTTATAACGAGTATAGAGTAATTTTAAATTTTCCTTCTCTGGGCACTTTGTTGAACTAAGCATCCACTGCGATTACACCACACGTTTTCTTACCTCAGAAAAACTAGCAAAACTTCCACTTATGGGCTGTTTAACAAAGTCCTGCGTATAATCAACATTGTGATCGGGCCAATCAAGGAACTTTTCCCTGAAAAGCACCGTCTCAGAGCGTGCGGTCATGCGCCCAAACAACGCCCAGGATGGTCTGGTTACTTCAAGCATTTCTGCTGGATCATCTGATTTAGTCTTGGGGTCCAGAGGGCTGATCGCACTTTTATACTTAAATTTCCCTTTGAAGAGTTCTTGGGCGAGGGCCACGCCCTTTGTTCGAGCTAGACTGTGGCAATTTCTTCCGAGCCAGAGGTAAACTTCTGAACCGAAGTCAACAACGTATGCCTTGAAAAAATGAAAAATAAAACGGCAAGCTTCAGTTAATATGTTGTGATTCAGCTTTTATAAAAATCTAAACCGAGGGTAACTTTGAATCACTACATGTACTACCTTATTTTGTACCCACAATCATTGCTACATGAATATTAATATTAACACTATAAAGTGAAAAATTTAAAAATGAATTGACTTGCAACATACTCGTGCAGCCATAGCATAAGCCCGTTGGGCTTACAAACCATACAGTGTTACTAAAGTTAGTGTTCTAGGAGGGCATTAACTTTTGTCATTTCGTCTCTTTTGCGGTCAAGATGTATGACATCATCGTATTCAAAAACCTCCGCTTTCGGCCATTCCACATAAAAAACTATACGCCACTCTGGGGACCGTTTTCGAAAACCTGCGTTTTTGGTGCCCGAAAACGCCGTTTACTTGTGGACGGAAGACAAAAAACCAAAACGGAGAAAAAAATCTCCATCTTCAAAAATATCCGAATACGTGAGAACGGGGTCAAGTTGTATCGATTCAAACACACCTGAGAATTATCCATAAAACTCTCACTAAGAACACGGCCTGATAGGTCATCACGCAGCTTAAGTGCAGGGGGCTCAGACGAGCAGTCCACTCTGTAAACTAAGTTAGTTGCGGTCACTCCTTTCTCGTGTTCTTCATCTGAAGGCCAAAGACTGGCATCTGTTATAAAAAAAAAAGAACATTACAAAGCGGTTTTCAATTATTGTCTGTTAACACAATCAAATCTCACCCGCCCGTTACGTGGTGACAGACAAATTTGAAGAATTAAATTTTGGGTGGATTCATTTGCAACAAACACACTTATAGCTGACACATTTACCTTCCAAGTTTTTATTGTTTTTAAGCCTAAAAACTTAACTCAATTCGTGCCAATTCTGCGATAAAAAATGTTTTGTCTAACCAACATGTCTAACCAATTATGAAAAACTGAACTACATTACCTGAGACTTCAGATTTGCCTCCAAGCGTCTTCCAGAAAAGTTTAGTTGCAGCATCACTAATCTCTTTATCCTGATTGATAATGTGAACCTTGGTAGCATTGCATCCTAAATCCTTCTGCTTCACGACCAAGGTAGAAACTTCCATTCCCTGATAAAAAAAAGAGAAAGATTATCCAATAAATATCCTAAACAACACCCCTAACTTTATGATTACCAATACCGTGAACTGCCGCTTACAAGCCCTGGACTTACAAGGAGACAATTTACCACGGGTGTCGAGGGAGTGTGAGACGTGCAGACTAGCGGTTAAACAAAGTAAACATTGTTGTGAAATGTTCAAACAGATTTCCTATCCCTAAAACTAGCCTTTCAGAAGACTTGAAAGTTTAGGGATTAAGGAATCTGTTAAAACGTTTCACAAAAATTTGTACCTCGTTTACCTCCCTCTACGCCCCTGGTAAATTGTCTCCCGAACTTACACTTCTCAGTGTGTTACAAGGGGTTTAAGGTGGGCTTATGAGCGGAGGTGCTTAAGCTTTCACTCTAAAACTAGCCAGTTAACCCTTAAGCCCCAAGATCCAAAAACAAATTCTCCGAACTTATCTCCATACATTTCTTTAAGAATAGTTGAGAGAATTTGGTTAAAGATCAAAGCATTCTTCCTAACAAGCTGTAGCAGTGCTGATCAAAATATGTGTTGCATTTACTGGTTTTTAATTAAGCTTCAAAACACCATAAGAAATCAAATTCATTTTAATACATTTGGAGGGGAGCTTTTATCCGGGGGGGAGGGCTTATAAGCGGATATTTTTTGTTTACAGGTAGATGGGCGTATAATTGGGGTAGGGGCTTATAAGCGACATGCTACAGAAACTGGATTATAGCTTCAGCGGGCATAGGTAGCCTGTGGCTCCTAATTACTTTCTTTCACCTGCTATGCTTTCTTTAAAACGATTTTCTGGTGTGTAAATTAGCATCCCATCACAGAGGATGGGTCCCCTGTGACACAACGGTGCGGCATTACACCACCCCACCAAGCAATGCCCCACCACATCCTCCAAGAACCGAAAAAACAGATCAGTGCATTTAACAAACCTTAGCTTTCTTCATTATGTTTGCATCCTTTCCGTTCCAAAGATGAATTTCCTTGGGTGTGACCAATACAAACACATCCCCAGAATTAAGAGATTTGGCTGAAGGTTCAACTAATCGTGTCTGAATATGCCTTGATCCTAAAGCAGATGAAAAAAAATAGAGTCAGTCCGTTTGTTAAACAGTGTCTTCTAGACCCAATGTTTTTCTCTGTGGGAAGAAAATTATATTAAAAATCACTTGCTAAGTATTCTTTGGCCAGACACAGTCATTATTCAACTGGTGTTAAAGGGGCTGTGTCACGGCAGTCCAGTTCATTTTGTTTAATTTTGCCAATTACTCGCCCTCAATCGCTATGGAACTTAAAGTAAGCAAAGAAATTACATGTAAATGACAAAATAAGAGATCCGAGACAAACAAGTATGTCTCCTGAGCATTATTTTTGAAGTTGCAAGCAGCAGGGATCAACTTTTGAAAAACTGTTAGGCTGAACAGTTTTCAAAAATCCTAATTTCAATCGGTTTTAATCTTCTTCAGTTTTGCCCATCCGTGGTATCTGTTGTTTCTGTTATGTTATTTTAACGTTCCTTTAAAGTTTTAAGCGGTTATTTTTATGTTTCTCTTAATTTAATGGGCATTTTGTAATTTCCTAATTTCGCTGAATTCCGTGACAGAGCTCCTTTAAGAACTGCAAAGCACTTGGGCAAGCATAACTTACATCACTGTTTTTGTTTGTTTGTTCTTCATGTTGTTGTTGTTTTGTTTTGTTTTGTTTTTTTTTGTTTTTTTCACAATAAAATTCAGAATTCAGAATTTTTTGTTTCCTAGCTCAAATTATTCATAGTGGAAAAAGGAAATTCTGATTTATTATTAACCTCAGAACAGATTTTACCAACAATGTTCACAACCGCCCTGTACACTTGATGAAATCAAGTCGACTTAAATCTAGATTAGTAGCACATAAAAGCCACAACAGGGAAATCCACATTTATTGCCATGTTTTGGGATGTGGGTTGTTGTTCAGTGTCTTATCTCTCTTAAGTTTTACACACGCAGTTGTCCACATCACCAAGAAACTACATGAACGCATGTGCTACTTTATAGCTGTTCACAAAAGTGGGCACTGATACATATAAACGGCCCTTAGTGAATCTCGGTCTAATACAAGATTCTCTCATTATTTCAAAACTAAACATAAGGTAATCTGCAAGGAGAATCTACCAGTTAATCAAATGTCAACCAGAGCTTTTTCTCAGAACCCTTTAAATTTGCCACATAACACTTGAGGTTGGAATCCACAACCGCCATACTAGCACCAGTGTACTCCAAGCACAGTACGTTCCGTCTTTAATGAAAAAGCCAACTCTCAAAAACACTTTCACCTTTCCCTGCCTACTGGACCTTGGGCGCCATTCTACCACAAACAATACTAAGAACCCTGCATAGAATACCGACCTTTAATTTGCAACAACATTACTGGAAGGAATCCTCCAAAATCTTTAATCTCTTTGCTCACTCCTGAGGAATCCTTTGCTGTCTTCCTCAAGGCAGTGCTCGCAGCCGCCAGATCTTCTGTACTGGAAAGCCCAGCAATGGCTTCATCAGCAAAACCTTTATCTTTTTCTAATACAAAAAAAACAAGAAAAGAAAAGAAAAGAATATCTATTTAACCCTTCTGTCCCTTAAAATTAACAGGCAAATTTTCTCAACAGTGTTTTCTATACATTTTGTATAAGTAAGGAGAATTTCTCTTGACTGTTTAAATGACCTAGATGTATTTATGGCTCAAAAACACTTGAATTTCTTGTCCTTTGAGCAAGCAGCTCTCACGTTTTCCTTGTGCCGGACTACTGGAATACCGGACTAATGGACTACCGGAGGGATTTTCAGTTTCTGTGAATTGAAACGAAAATCTATCGGCTGCAGTGTACATGTAGAGATGGCCTAATCCCGCTTTGAGCAACCGGAGCCCTGAAGTTTGGGACAACATATAATCAGATTGTAGTGTCACCACACTGCCTGCCTTGAATAGCTTCTGCCAAATGCAGGTAGTGTGTTTGTAATAATTATGTATTTCTTAGTGGTCAATAGCACTGCTTGCTTGGTGTTAATCACTTGCATGCCACTGCAACCTCACAAGGGAAAGACAATCATCTCTATTCTAGTTCAACATGTTGAATGGCCTATTAATAATTTTTTTTGAACATTTAACATGATAAGGATCTCATAACCCGAAGCCTATGCAAGTCCATTTTTTTTTCAGACCAGTTTATTTTTACTCTTTGCTTCACATGTCTGTGCTCCTAGATCTAGAACATCTAGAAATACTACATTGTATTTCCTGGTCTCCAGTTATTGCTGACTAACTTTTTTAAGACTCATTTACTGGTCAAGGCTTGTGGAAAATTACTAGCTGTGGGTTATGGATTACTGACATATGATTTCAACACTAGTTGAACAAATTAAAGCTGCAGCATTCGTCTTCCATGTTTTTACCAATTTTTACCCACTAATAAAAGTTAATACCTACTTTTCCTGCCAGCAAGAGAAGGTTTCTCTTGACTCTCTCGAATCATCAGTATCTGAAAAGAAAAGTAAAAACAATACAAATTGACCTCTTAAACTTGATGTTTTGTTTTACCAATGATGATCCCAAGGAAACTTGCCCTTTGGCGTTTATTAAATTTATATATTTATTTATTTTTATTATTTTTTGATGAGACAAAATTTGAAAGAAACAGTTTGCTGGTGTATTATCAAAATGCCCAACAAAAAAAAAAAACATTCATACTAAAGAGGTCTATTTAACACTCAATAATGATTGCATTTTTTCCAATGAACTATCAGAGGCTATCTGGCTAAGAGAAAATTTCATTGTGTAATTACAGAATATAGCCAAATTCCACCTTTCGGTGCAAGGAGGAGGACCAACAACAAACTTAACCCACTATTATGGCATTGACGCCGGGATTTGAACCAAGGCCACATTGGTGGAAGGCGACTGCTCTCACCACGGCACCACCCCTTCTCCCCTTGCAACCTAACAGTCACAAGTCACGGTACAGAACTTTTACCAGTCAGCAGCCTACTACTGTAAGTAACAATTTAAAAGCTTGTTCTTTGATGATTATGTTCAGTAGTTTCTGTTCACAAAAAATAATTTATCAATGTGCAGTCCTGGAAAATATCCCTGCTTCCCCACAGAAGTGAAACGTTCTAGAACACTCATCCCTTTAGCAGAACTTCTAATTTAGTTTCATACAAATACATTTTTTTAATGCCTTGATCTTAAGACTTACTCTTCCCCTTGAGGATTAATTCCAACCTCTTCAGTGGGGGATAACAATGTATCAAGATGTTCCCAGACTATACAAATGAACGAATAATTTATTTCTTTACCTTATAGTACTGTCACTTAATCTATAAGCTACCATAGACTACATAAATTATAATTAAATTAATGACTAACTCACATCAGTTTCAGTTCTCAAATCTTCCCGGTTCTGCCGCTGACGCACAGGATTACTGCTGGCCTGATGCCGTCTTGCTGGCTTAATTTTCCTTCTGTGGTNCAAAAAATAATTTATCAATGTGCAGTCCTGGAAAATATCCCTGCTTCCCCACAGAAGTGAAACGTTCTAGAACACTCATCCCTTTAGCAGAACTTCTAATTTAGTTTCATACAAATACATTTTTTTAATGCCTTGATCTTAAGACTTACTCTTCCCCTTGAGGATTAATTCCAACCTCTTCAGTGGGGGATAACAATGTATCAAGATGTTCCCAGACTATACAAATGAACGAATAATTTATTTCTTTACCTTATAGTACTGTCACTTAATCTATAAGCTACCATAGACTGCATAAATTATAATTAAATTAATGACTAACTCACATCAGTTTCAGTTCTCAAATCTTCCCGGTTCTGCCGCTGACGCACAGGATTACTGCTGGCCTGATGCCGTCTTGCTGGCTTAATTTTCCTTCTGTGGTCTGAAAATGCCTTCAAGCTGGACAAAATCAAATGGTAAGAGATATGTAACAGTACTTTTAATCATTAGTTACAATCCCTTTTCTTCTCTTCTCACCTAGTTCTTTTTTGTTCGGTAATATATAATTACTGACTCTGTACAGGTAAGTCCCTGGTGAAAATCTTCAAGTGGACCCACTTAAAATATTCCCACACGACATCTCAACTAATTCCTTGCATGAAATCTCGATTCCCGCCCAAAATCTCAACTAATTCCTTGCATAAAATCTCGGTCTTGCAACCCCTGTTCCCAGCCTTACTGTCAATAATAACAACACCCAGGTCAGCACTCCCCAAACATACAGGTCCTCCCTTGACAGCACATAGAAAGATTTCTCAAACCAATCCTAAATCAAAGAATTTCATCCACAGAATCAACATATTTAATTCACTAGTTTGGAGCGACAGGCTGAGGGATAAAAAAACACATGAATGAACATGGCTCTGTTCAAGAAGAGCCCAGCTACCCATGGTGTTTCATTCTGAGTTGCATTTATTGCAGGTGTGGTAGGGGGGAGGGGAGTGGGTTTGTGGCAAGCAAGGAAACAATATTTTGAATCTCTATCTTACTACAGTCGAACAGTCCTGTACAACCACCTCTCTTAAGCAAATACCTCCCATTAACACCAAAATTTTCCCAGCCAACTCCCTACAATCAGAACCTCCCTGGTTTTATCATTTTCCATTGTCTTTAACCTCTTGTAAGCTATATGTACCACTAGACACAATCCCCACAATCTCTGTTCACTGTATTTACTATGCTGCTCAGAGTATAACAAAACTTTCGGTGACAATAGGGAACTATATGAGTATGTAACTTAGAAATTGTGCACATGCATGCAATAAATTATCTCCCCTAAAGTAGATGGGTTGGGACCTCTTCTAGGAAGAGCCCCCGTTTGTCAATTCTCGTACAGGACCACCTCCCGCAAGCAACCACTAAATCTTTGCATTTTGGGTGATTATTAACAGGAGGTTCGACTGTATTATCTTTCTTAGTCTAACACTCTTGATTTCAAAGAAGCATTTCTGGTACATACTTGGATGTGACGCGAGGATCATCTCCTTTATCATCACCAAACGCAAATGACCTGGGCCTCTCATCTTCTTGGAGAAGCTTCTTCTTTTTAACATCCTCCAAGATTGATGACTTGGGTCTCTCAGGCGGCATCCGTGACTTAACATTTCCATCCACCTCCTCATCACTTTCTTCCAGGCCTTTTGAACCATCTGCCTCATCTTTGATATCATCACTTTCTGAACTCAAGAAGTCTCCATCATCATAATCTTCTCCCTTTTCATCATCGTCAGCACCATCAGCATCCCTTTTTCCATCATCACAATCATCATCATCATCATCACCATCATCTTTAACTTGCTTTGTATTCATTTCAACGTCACTCTCAGTTTCACTTTCCTTGGCTGATGTCTCCACTGTATCTGTGGACTCCTGATTCTTCCAAGAAGTCTTGCCTTCATCTTCTTTCTCTTCATCCGTAAAGGAACCTCTCTGAGGGGAACACTCTAAAACATCATTTCTTTTGAGAGGTAGAATGGCCCCTGGCTCCTCATTCATTTCATCTCCAACAGTGGGTAAAATATCTAGCTCCTTGCTCATTCGCTTATCAAGTTCATCATCAGTTCCACAGCCTTCAGGCTTTCCACATGGACCAACTGGTTTTGAATCACTTTCTTCAGAAACAGACCCATTTTCCACTGGTTTAATGTGCTCCCCCATTTTCTGCTTCATACTTTTCTTGGCTGGCTTCTCCAGAGGATCACCATTCTCCGAGCCAAATGTCTTAGCAATATCGGATGCCAGACTTTTAATCTCCTGTGTGGTCGCTGCATCAGAGGTGCTCTGTTGACCCTCACTTGCATATTCATCTGACATTTGCCGTCGACTTGCCATAATTGCCTTCATGTCATCACTTGTACTCAGCTTTTTCTTGAGCTTGGGTCTGGCAGGGGCCTTCTGCTCTTCTTCTTTCCCTTGGCTTAAAAATTTACTTCGAAGACTATCCAGTCTTTCAAAGTGCTCATGTTCATTAAACTCTGGCCGTTTGGGAGCATGCTCTTCTTTAGGGGTTAAAAACTTGCTTTTGATGTCCTTCATTTTTGGAATCATCTGAGTTTCTCCATCCAAAGGTATTCCTCTTGGCAGTGCCTCTTCCTCTCTTTCCTGAATTTTCTTTTTGATATCTGCTAACCTAGGGACATACTCAAGGTTTTGCTCAGCAATTGTAGGTTTTAACGGTGCCTCTTCAGTTGAACCCAGTAAAGATTTTTTGATGTCAGACACTCCCTTACAGAAGGCAAGCTCACTATCATTGCCGGCACCACCAGAATCATCTGACATGTGTTGATAATCCTGCGGGCTTGGAGGGGATTGATCTGAACTGGTAGACATTTTTTGCTCTGGCTGCCCGGGAGTACTTGCGACTGGTGATTTTGGATATTCAGCCTCACTCAAAGATGATGTAGAAGAGCGCAGGGATGGACTTCCCATGCCATCTGTTGTTGACTGGCTTCCCATAAATCGCCGTCGAGATTGCATATATCTCCACTCCTGTTCCTTTTCATAATCCTCCTGGGTAGTCAGGTCAATGGGTTTGGGAAGATCAAATCTTACAGGATCGTCAACCATATCTGTTGAAAAAGTCCACTTAAGCATGGTTGAACGAGCCCGTTCCAACTCGAGATTTTTCTTGTACTCTTTCAAGGGACCCTGAATGGGAACCTTGTTCAGAACACCCACAGATTCCTGATCAAAGTCACTCATGGAAGTCCACGAACGCTTGCTGCCATCAATGGACTCATCATCGTCTGTCTTTCGACGCCTTCTTCTCATGGCTATTTCAAATTCATCCTCAAGGTCAGACTTGGATCGCATGAGAGAATATGGATTAGGCTTCTTGAATTTTCTGGGTGTTGTGGAACGCTTTTCAAACACTTCTTTCTCTTGTTCATCTTGAGGAAAGCGGGCAGCCACTGTTGACCTCCATCTCCGTTGCCGCACCATTTGTAACCACTGTGGCTCTTTGGGCGTTTCTCCTTCATCTATAACAGGTCTAAAATGCGTGATCCACTCACCGTCTTTCTTAATGGGTACATATGGTTTGTTCACTCCTGGCTTCTTTGCTGGTTCTTTATGCTGCCATTGGGCTTTTAATGATTGGACAGACTCAACGTGACCTTCATCAACACCTCTGTCTTCTTCTGGGGCTTCAACTTCCTCGAATGTCTTCACCACACCCTTTCGTGGCTCTTGCTCATCTGCATCATCATCCTTAGCTGTAGGTGGAGGAGGCCATTGCCTTGCAAGGTGGTGGGGTGTTGGCTGCTCTTCAGAATGTGGCACAACTCTGCTTTTTCCAGTTGCTGAGGTCAGGTAATCTTCCTTAATCCTCTTGACTGGAGAAGTGGACATAATCTCTGGTTGTTGGGCATGAAGATCGACTGAAGGTTCCAAATCAATATCACCATCATCATCATCAATATGGTACCCCTCAACAGCAGCTGCATATCGCTCCTTTCTCTTGTCCACATCACCACCTTGCGAATCTCTGCGCAGAGCAGAGGCATATGCACCATAACCAGTTTTTTTCTTTCCTTGCTTTGCACTTTTCTCGTCATTTTCTCGTTCGGCATCATCCACACTCTCACTGTCTCCCGACAAAATCTCTAGATCACTTGGTCTCCGTTCACGAATTTCTCTTTTGCTAAAGTCTGTTACCACTGCTGCAGATTTAGCTCCTTGTTCTTTAGCTTTCTCTGCCATTTCCCGCTGCCTCTTTTTGTCACGCCTTTCCTGTCTTTTTTCCTCACGTGTCAGAACCCTAGAAGCTTCAATTTCACTATCTGTGGTGGAAGAACGAGACCGTCCACCAACATCAACATCACCCTCATCTGTTCCATTAACATGCTTACTTTCTTCATCTGTGTCAAGACTAAGTCTTCTCTGTTCTCTCCTTTTCCTCCTTGCTTCAAGTCTAGCCAACCTATCATCAGATGACTCAGACATGCTTGTAATGTTATGCTCTTTTCAAGCAAACTTTGCTCCAGATTTCAAGTAAAAACCACACTTGTGCAAGCAAACAGAACTTTTGCAAAGCACGTGCTCAGTCATGCATGCAAAATACTCTGTGTGACAAATTTTCTGACTTCCTCTGGGCCTTGTTGCAGATTTCTTTTAAGTTTTTCAGAGATCCTTTAGTAGCTTTTGACACCTCATAATCTGTGGAGCCTTGGTATATTTACCCTGTGACACAGGCAAAATAAGAATTAGTGCATCAGTGAACAGATTCTTAACAAAGGATAACTAGATATAATCTGAATATAACACTACTAAAGAATAAACTGTCACAAAAAAATTACAATGCCCTGTGTATGAATTCTGAGGGCTGAATAACATTAAATCAAATAAGAAGTACACAGTGTATCATAAACTGTGGCAAAAAAATCAAGTTGAACCTTGGTAAGGGAAGTCTTGCTGTATGATCTATAATATCATAAACATGCACACTTTAACGTTGAGGTACTTAGGTACACTCAAGCAAAGTTGTCATGACCTTTAGCTAACAATATCAAATGACTGTATTATGTATGAAAGAATGAAAATGATTTGCTTAACAAAAACACAGTGGCAGTCTTTTGTACATTTATCTTCTACTTAAAATCCCAGATAAAACCCTCATCGTTTGAATGCCTTAGTTTTTAACTATAATGGCCGAGTCTACTAAATTCCTCTAAGCTCTTTACCACTTGTTAAAGTCCTCAATAACCTTGTTGACATGTAATTTAATCAGTGTTTGATGAAGGAAGGAAGAATAATTACACCACCAGAGAAAAAACAAGTGAGTTTTCTTTGATCAAAGCCCCCAGTGTTTTTATTCAAAGCAGTAAATTGAGATCGTAATATTAAAAAAACACAGCAAGATAAAATCATTTTCCCACCAAACAGACATTCCTAAGTATCATATCAAAGACTGGCAGCTGAGTTCACTTGCTCTATCACTTGACTCTAAAGATTATTGAATTGTCTTAAAATCTGGGCATGTAAGTTGTCACAGCCATGCCATAAGTCTACTTTCGATAGCAAGAAAGAAATGTTTTAAAAAAATGAGCAACCAAAAATATATATAATAACTATAATAAAACAATAACAATAATAGTAATAATAATTAATTCACTTATTAATTTACTTCATGTACTTAAAATTTAATACAAAGCACATTTGAACTTGCATTGTTTTTCTAGCAACAAAGACTACACTGACTGTTTTTGGAAGTTTAGAGACTCACAAACTAGCTGCAACTACAGATAAACACTGCAAAATACACCTCAAGTCAAGTGCGGTTTGTTTTTGTCATGATATTTTGCTGTTGTTTTCTCTCTCTCCCCTCCCCCCCCCTTTTTTCCATTCACTTCCCTGAGGTTACATATAATACATGTATGCACATCAAACTGGTTCTCAGGAGCATATAGGTCCATATACGCACATGTGTACGCCCATCCATACAAGCACTGAAAATCTTGACAAAAAATATATTTTTTGTTTATTTTCTGAAAATGACTGATAAATTTTTTGCATTATATTGGGTTATGTAAGTGTGAATGGTAGAAGTCTCGCCCTTCCTTAGCTTGTGACCTACCTAACGGCATCACTGATTTTCCCTCTTTTTCGTAAACACTAATAGAGTCAACTCTCTTTTAACGGACACCTCTATAAGATGGACACCTCTGTAAAACGGACACCTAGAGGTGGTCCTTGCCTTTCTTTACCCCTTTTATTTGACTCTCTGTAAGACGGACACCTCTCTAAGACGGACACTTAGTGCCGTCCCAAACGTGTCTGTCTTGGAGAGAGTTGACTGTACACATGTACCTTACCGATAACACTAGAGATGGGTAAAAAACAACTAAGTGCATTTTCCTTTATATTTATTTACTGACAATACATTCTGTGGAAAACACAGGAAATGGCATTTCCAAGACCCTAAATTTAAAATTTTCTGGGGAGTTGGCTGCCAGGCTCCCTAGCTTGAAGCGCCTTTGGTTCTCTTCTTCCTGTGCGTACACCTTTAAAATCTCACGCTACACCCCTGGTTTTACAAATTAAAAGTAGCTGTACTATGAAACAGTACTCCTTAAGAGGTTTCATTTCAAAGGTCACAGGTCACAAGTCAGAGTACTAGTAGGAATATACATGTAGTTTAACAATGAAATGCTATCATTGACATCTATTGCACCTAGAAAAATAAAATGGCTGGGAGGCCTGTGCCCCATCATGGTCTCTTATGTCAGCAAGTTGCACCCAGTATGCTTACTCAAAAGCACCAAAATGTGGATTTGCAATCCTGACATACAGAAAAGTCACATTCATCGCACATACTGAGTACCTAAAAGTTCGCTAACATCAATATGCTCAAATTCAGCCTACTCCTGAGCAATGGGAATTGAATGAAATCAAATTTTGATCTTTGAACGTGAACATAATCAAGCAATATGTTTCTGTTTATCCTGTTAATCCTAAAGGTCAATACGAAAAGCTGCATCATAAATACTTGAGCAACTAAGAGCCTTTGGCCTGTTTCAAATGTCGTGCTACTGCCTTGCCAAACTCAATTCATAAATTATAACACTAGAATACATTGTAAAAGTTCACCAAACTGCTTTTTATTTTGTAAGTTTTCTTTTCTGCAACAGCTATTTTAATTGATTGAGTTAAATTCAACATATAAAACCAAGTTCAGCTTAAGTTGTGCCAGCTTTGAATGGCAGTAGCTCTCAATGTTGAAACAGGTCTTTAAACATTTTTAAAAATGAATAGCAATTCAGGTCAATTCAAAAGTCAACAGGAATTGGAAAGGAAAGCTTCAGTTATAATTTTGGAGTTTGAATAGCACCAGAATAATGCATTTTGCATGAAAGGTATACAAAACACCATATGGTGACATACAGTAGTACATATTTTACAAGAAAATAGAAATAACATAACCTAGGGTCGTTAACAATTATCTTTTTAGCTCAAATTATGAAACAATTAAAATTGCAATCTCCCACAGTAAAAATAGTATCTAGGGAAAAAAGCTTACAATAACATAATACAATATCCATGACCAGGGCGAACACTAGAGTCAATTAAAATAAACCAAAAATTATACATAAACAGGATGTTAAGAAGGAACGCGTAATTTGCGTATGTCTTTGTCCAAAGTTGTACACAAACAATCAGCTATTAGATAAAGCCATGCGCCAATATTATAGATGAACCAATGCCAGTCAAGCGTTAAAAGTAGAATATTTCAGTATTTTAAGATAGTTTTAGGCGAGATACCATTTGCCATTCGCAAAAATTGGAATTAATTCAAAGAAGAGAGAACGAACACACGATCGTTCGAACGTTCGTTTACAGAAAGAAAAGAAATGTATTTCAACATAATGAAATTAACACGAGAAGTAGAAGAAAATAACGCCTTCCAAAGCAGCAAAGCTAGGAGGTTGAAGTTCAAGCGATCACCAAAACATTATTAAATTTTAAAATACGTTTTTGATATACATAAATTTTGTTTGATTAAACAGCAGGCACTACTGAACAAATTAAGTAGAGCTAATTAACGCTTCCATGCATGCAAAACGTCATCTGTTTACCAGAGTTAAATCCAAACTTCGATACTACCACTCGAGGAATCCTTTTGAACTGTTGCTCATGTCTTAAAGTACATGTACTAACATCTATGGATCGGAAAATGAATGTTTTGTAACAGAACGACATACCATGCCCACTCGATCTTCGGCACAATTTTCCAAGCTGACAAGAATATAAAGGAATTTAATTTTTGACGAATTTTTTGCCCCGCCTATGTGAAAGTTCACTCAAATGTCACGTAGGTTAACTCCGACACAATCAACAATTTCTTATTTCAATGTGAAACTCCAAAGAAAGACAGCTAAGGAAGTTTTAATATGCGCAAAACTTAACTTACATGATACATACATGTACAAGAAGCCATAAAGACGTAACTAAATACACAGAAAATTATAGACAAATGTTTTAATGTAAGTCTTGCATCAAGAGCTCCAAAGACAATCCTGGAAAATCTGTTTACATAGAACAAGTTTAATGCATATAAAAATGTTTTTTCTTCCAGCTTAGATGATGTAAAATTTCACGCAATGAATTGATATTGACTTTCAAAATTTTTATCGTCACGCCAAACAATGATATGCAATTTCCCGAACGACTTTCAATTCAATTCTTCTTCTCTGAAAAGTCCGAGGAACAGATGTCCTTACCTCGAAACGTAACTTAAACGAAACGTAAACCTTGGTCTATGTGATTAAAAGCTTGTAGAGTTTTACCGAAATTTTTTGTCTTCCTCTCTGGGCAAAATGTCAACATCAGCCCGCTACCTCTCTAAAAAATTCTGTTGTCAGACCATTGACCGAAAGATCACAATCAGAAAAATAAAAACAGCTCACAGAGAATCCAACTAGGGAAACAGATCACAAGCTCGGATCGCTAAACAATATTTTCCCGCACAACAAATCGAACATGCACAAAGTTTATAAACAGAACCTTACCTGGTAGCAAGTAAGCTTCGTTTCGCCCACGCAAATTCTTGATCAATAACTGCTTGCGATGAGAATTGTGTTAACACGTTTGCTTCAAACGTCGGCGATGAATGAAGCCAAAATCAGAGCGCAAACCAGACACCAGATCGACGAAAGCACGTTTTGAAAAACGACCTCAATCGCGCCGACGCAAAGCCGCACAGANCGGGTGGCGTTGAACTGGTGTGGGTTGTGATGGGTGTGCGGTGTTTTGTTTTTCCGTTCCTGTTTGGGGTTTTTTTTTTTTTTTTTTTTTTTTTTTCTCAAGGGCGGACGAGGCGAGAGGAAAAAGAAATAACGCCCGCTTCCCGTGAGAGACATAGAGGAATAATAGGAAGAGGGTATGATCTCAGGCTACGCGAGTGTTGACTTGACTTTCACGTTAACGCGAATTTTCGCTTTTCATTCGTGCCTCACTGCGAGTTATGAGTGCGTGCGATATTGAACGGGGCGCGCGATCGAAACACGCATGGGGAAGCCGCGTGACGAAGCCTAAGGAACATCTGCGTGAGAGGCTAGCCTGGATGATCTTTCACTATTAAAATAGTGCGAGACGGAGAAATCCTTCCGTAAAGACAAAGATGACCACTGTTCAGGAAGCAAATGGATGAGGAAAATTACCATGTCGTTTTTAAACGGAGTAACCTATAAGCTAGGGTTTGCTTTTGCCAGTTTGCCATGGAATCCATTTCCATCTTCTTCATACTAATAACCGTTTTTAGACGACTTCTAATAGCATTAAGAGTGTTTACTGAAACATGTTGAAAGTTGTCCCAAGTTTGAACTCAATTAAGGTCGTCAAGAATTTTTTCTCATATTTTACTTATTTAGTTATTTATTCACACACATATTTACATGCAGTTCTGCCCGCAGATAGAGAAAGCTAATCAAGGCGCTTGGAGATTAATGGATCTCAGCAGTCAGTGTAGAATTACTCACAATCATGGGTGCACTTTCTCATTACCCCCCCACCCTGAAACGTTTACATGGCAAAATTTGACCCAGCCGAGAGGGTTACCCAGTTTAGCAGACCGGGCAACCACCCTCGGAGGGGTCGCTTCATGGCCGCCTGTCATGGAAACACCTTCATATGAAAATGAGAGATTATATGGGCAGGCGGGTTCACCCTAGCGGGTTCCTCACCTACTTGGGTTCCCCCGCCTTTATGTAAACAGTTCCTGAGACGAGCAACGACTCAACGACTCTAATCATATGATTGTACTAATTTTTAGTGCAACATCTAATATGAAATTTCTAACTCAGATCACTGTCAGCACTATCACTATCAGATCACTGTCAGGACTATCCAATAAAACTCCCAAAGAAGGGGGAATATTGGACCGAGAGGGAAACGCGCAGTCTAACCCTTGGGATATGCGGATGTAACAAAGTTATTTTTATACCAAGAACGCAAAGTCCAAAGACTACTACGTTTACAACCAGGAGGATCTTCGTCCACGGTTTTTGCAGTTAATTTAATCCCTTATTTTTAGACCAATTAAACGCTTGAATTAATAGGAAGTTGGATTCTGGAGAGGTCCGCAAACTTGTACCTTGCGTTGTTAAGAGAGAATTCAACAGTCGCTATTACAAATATTCTCCATTTTTTATTTTGAGGACTTGATTTGCGGATTTGATTGTGCGTACGTCTCAGGGATAAGACCTCCGTTTAAAGTAATTAACTTTAGTGAAATTCACATATCTTGATCCTCGATCTTGAGTTTCTCTCTTTGTTTATATACACCCTTGACTTAACACAATCCTTACATAAAAGGAGAGTCGGGAGATGACTACTGTTGCCGTCATTTGAATATTGACTAGATATTCTATCTTACGCTGGTATGGACGAAATATTACATGGTTTGCAATTTTTTGCATTGAGAGTTAACTTCATTCGTATTGAGCCAGTCTGAGACTTTGCGCAATTTGCTGCATATTCACTATATTAATCTCAAGCGAGATTTTACGTTTTAGTCAGCAAACGACGAGTAAGTGTCATCAGCAAAAAGAAAAAAAGAAAACTTTGATGAAGAGTCATCATTGACGTAGATCAGAAATAACAATGGCCCAGCAAAGAGCCTTGTGGTACTCTAATTACCATAGGTTTATCATGACATAAACGGCGACACAAACAGATCCAAAGTTGTCTCCCGTCCACCCCGGCTCAAGCAGATCCTCGGTATTCCAAATGCGCATCTCTTGGCCTGAAACTACTGGCAAACGAAGCTAAATATCAGGGAAGACCAGCTGGGGGGATGTTGGAAAGTATCCTGGAATTTCGAAGCCGTTGAGTATGGATCCTTTTTCTCTGCGAGGCAGCAAGATAGAATCAGACGAATTCGTTATCAGTGTGTGGATTTTCCCTCGTTTGCATCCCCAATTAAACCATCCTGTCCACCGTGAACACCGGATCAAACCAGACAAATGAACCAGTTTCACTCTGACCAAAAAGCCAGTAAAAGGGATCCAAAACCTGCCAAACTGGTTATGTTTCGCACCAAAACAGACTTGTGGCGTCTGGTTTCTTAGTGTTATCCATTTGTCTATATATTAAACAAAAACATATAATTTGGGAAACTAATTTTGCGTGTCTTAGACAAAATAAGGCGCAAAAATACAGTCAAACCTCTCGTCAGCGACCACCCAAGATGTATGCGGAGATTTAGTGCTCGCGCGCTTGCGAGAGGAGGTCTCGACACGTCTACTCTACGGCATGGAATTTCTTGCATGCACTGTTTCTAAGTTACGTATACGTTAAGACGTAACCCTCGGCCGTACAAGTGGGGGAGGATGTAGCTGCCAACCCCCTCTGAGGTTCTTTTATTTCTTTTTCCCAGAGAAGTTTAATGATGGTCAGTTACTATGGTTACGAGATATGACGTCATAAGTAGCAGGTGGCCATGCCATTTTTGAGTGAAAATGCATGATTTATTCATTTTTCTTTTTTCAACAATAAAAGTAAAACTTCTAAATGGAATGATACAAAGTACTTATTTATAAGTTAAGCACAAAAAATTACCATTTATCCCGATTTTAACCTGATTTCTAGTTCTTGGCAAAATCCAAGATGGCAACCATTGTTGGTGACGTCACAAGCCTCCAGCAGCGCCACCGTCCATAAAATATACCTTGTCTTGTTGAGAAAATCAAAGGCTTTCCACTTACGGCAAAATCGTTTCGAAATACTGCAACATATCAAAAACTCTGAGGAGGGATTCCATCCACCCCCCCCCCCCCGGTACCCCGGGGGGGATATGAATTTGTTTGTAGGTCCGGGGGTTTTCCTAGGCATGAATAAGGGCTGTTTTGCAGTGTCGCCCTGACTTAAGCATTTACTTCAATCCAGGTGGACTGATCATGAATGCATTTTTTTTTTTCACATACCACCAGCCTGGTCAAAAATGAAGTCAAAAAAATTATTCACCTTTCCCCCAGTCCTAAAATAATCCCTTGTCTTGTTGAGAAAATCAAAGGCTTTCAACTTCCGGCAAAATCGTTCCGAAATACTGCACCTAATCAAAACCCCGGGGGAGGGATTCCTTCCCCCCCCCCCCCCCGGTACCACGGTGGGGATATGAATTTGTTTGTACGTCCGAGGGTTATCCTAGGCATGAATAAGGGCTGTTTTGCAGTGTCGCCCTGACTTAAGCATGTACTTCAATCCAGGTGTACTGATCATGAATGCATGTATTTTTATCACATAGCACCAGCCTGGTCCAACATGAAGTCAAGAAAATTGATCACCTTTCAGACCTTTTTGTAAAAGATTCAATGACAAAAAAATGCAATAATTCAAATTTTTTTAAAGGAGAAGAGTTCAAACACCGGAAAGTTCCGACTCTTGACTCTCCTGGTTAAAGTATTCGCCCTTTTCTCCAAGCATCGAAATTTTTTTTAACAATACTAGCTGATACATTATAAGCTCATAAAAAGAGTATTGAATTGAGGCGTTTTAAACGTTGATAAGGCTTGCCGCGGTCGGGTATGTGCATCGATGCGTGTGTGGCGTAGCGGTTAACACCTTGAACTCCCGATCTGGAAGTTCGGGGCTCAAGCATCGCCCGTCGCGTTGTTTTCTTAGACAAGGAGCCTTTATTCCACTTTGTCTCTCTTCACCCAGGAGTATAAATGGGTACCGGCGACATAGTGGGGGGAAGTAATCCTGCGATGGACCGGCATCAGTCCAGGGAGGGGGGGCGGGCGGTGTACGCCCTGACCTACCTTCCACTTTGCGATTGGGGTTCACAGCATAAACGAAGTTATCCAGCTTGTCCTCCAAATCGTCGGGGCCTTTAGCGAAACTGTTGAACTCACAAATTCTGTTTGCCAAGTTGTAGTTCAAACTTTGACAAGACGGCTCTTGTTGACAGGTGCGGTAACATGTTACATGGAGATTGGCAACAAAGGACTTGTAAGAATATCCAAGAAGAGCAACCCCGTAATGCGAACCATACTTACTCGACTGCATGCATTGCTGCAGCGCACTTGCATAAACCAAGGCAGACATTGTAACCCCGACCAACAAACAAACCATCAACAGCTGCATTGAAGCGGTGAAGTTTTTGCAGTTTCTTTTACC